TTAAATTTTAAGAAAATATATCTATAATTAATTTACAATATAATTATATGTACTAATTTTTTTTAAAAATTGCACAGGGGCCCGTGCCCCTACGGGCCCCTGCCTAGTTCCACCATTGTCGATGGTTACCTAATGATATAATGATTATAAATCCAACGGAATGGTTCCGTAACGGAACCGTAGCATTTCGCTGTAAAACTTTCATTATTGTCTTTTTGAAATTGTTGGGTGGATCTTATCCAATTAACTTTTTTTTTTTTTAAATTGTTGTTGTTTTTAGGGGCCTACGATGACGAAGAAGCAGCTGCACATGCATATGACTTAGCCGCACTGAAATATTGGGGACAAGAGACCATCACTAATTTTCCTGTAAATTAATTAAGCAATTATATATATTTTCTATTGTAATTTTCTATGATTAATTAATGTTATCAATTTATTTTTTTTAATCTGATATTAGTGATTTCTTGTTATAGCTTACTAGTTATGGGAAAGAGCTTGTTGAAATGGATGGTCAATCAAAGGAAGAGTACATTGGTTCATTAAGAAGGTAACTAAGTGAAGGTGATAACATTGAAATTTTATAGTTTGATGTAAATTTTCTTGCATTTGAGACGTATAGTTTGCTATGAAGCTAACAGTTGGTTACTTATTGGTCAGTTTTGCTATAATTAAATCGATTAATCATCTTTTTAGTTCATCTAGTCTATATAATCAATTCATAAGTAATCACCCCTAAATTTAATGTAGGAAAATTTCAAATTTTAGTTTGTTTACTTGCAAAAGTCTTTTTTTGGTACACTAACATTCCAGTCATCCATAATAGTATATTATGTTGCAATTTGTATCATTTTAGGACATTAATCCCAAAAATAATGAACCATTTTCGCGATAATGTCCAAATAGTGGTACAAATTGCAACATAACGTACTATTATTGACAATGGCAGATCTACATAGGGGCCCGTAGGGGCACGACCCCTGTAGAATTTTGTGTAATCCTCCCTATATATAATTCCCGAATGCGCTGAGCCTACGTGGCTGCTTCTGGTGCTTCGGAATCCTACTTGGCGAAAAATCATGTTTCGTAATTAGGTTTGGACAAATAATATTGATATATTAATAATTAATAATCTAGGTTCGGACATTCTATAAATATTAATTAGCTAATTTAGGTATTTTAATATTACTTATACTAATATAACCCTTTAATTCTATGTAATTTTACATAGTGAGACACTAAATAACTAAATATCACTGACTTTTGATTTGTTTCCTTCAATTAGCTATTTAATTGTAAATGTATTTTAAAAGTTGATAACTTTTGTATTTCTTATCGGTTTTACATATATAATATATCAAATTAATCATTTTTTGTTGATCTTCGATTTGACATCCATATTGTATATATGATAAATAAATTATATTTATCTTTATAATAATAAAAAATAATAATATTTATTAAAAATTCATTAGAAAAATAAAATTATTTTCTCAATTGATACATTTATGTTTAATGTAGTTATATGTTGTAAGTTAAAAAAATTATTATAATATAACACATGTAAGTCGCACAAATAAAAAGCGCCATACTAAATATATAATAATATATATATTTTTATAAAATGTATTTAAATTTTCAACTACTTTATTTTCATTAATTTTATATTTTAAAAAAAAATATTTGCAGGCACCCGTGTAATACACGGGCGTTGTACTAGTATAATATATATATATATATATGTTATATGTATAAATGTATTATTATTTTGACATAAAAAAATGCATGTTATTAATTGTTATGCAAAGTTATTTAAATATTAAAACATAAAAAGAAAAGTTTAGAATTATTTAACCTTCAATAGTATGTTATTTTTTAAGTTGTGGAATTTATGTTTATACTATACCAACTTCTTGTGTATTTTCTTTTCTCTCCCAAAATTGAAAAAACATAAAAAAAAATAAAAAATATTATACATAAATGTATGGGGTTGAATCAAATGTGTCTCTATTCTTAAATGGGAATGAGAAACTCAACTCTAGCTATTAAATAAGAAACAATGTGTTTGGTCAAAATTTTTAATCTTTTTATTTTTTAGTTGGTTAAATATTGATTTGACCGTTGACTTCTGGCATTGACCGTTGACCGTAATTTATGCCCCTGTTGTCCTTAAAGTCTGCGTCCGCCCCTGATTATTGATGAAGAAAAAATTAATCTACGAAAAAAAAAGACTTTAGTAAACAGACCAAAATTAAATTTTTGCCATTTAACGTATATAATGTTTTGATGCACACATGAGCTTTATATTATATAAAATTTGCAGGAAAAGCAGTGGTTTTTCTCGAGGAGTATCAAAGTACAGAGGAGTGGCCAGGTAATTAATGAATAACTAATTTATTTAAATTACTCAACCAAACTATAGAGCAAGATCAAGAAATTAGTACTATTCCAACTGAATTTAGTACTATTTTATGCACAGGCATCATCATAATGGTAGATGGGAAGCTCGTATTGGGAGGGTCTTTGGCAACAAATATCTCTATCTTGGGACTTATGGTAGGCTAAAATGAAGTAATTAATGATGGACCTAAGTGTTGTCCTTTTAAAATTTGTAATAACTAAGTGTAGTGTTATCCTTTGGTTTGCAGCTACTGAGGAAGAAGCGGCCACTGCATACGACGTAGCAGCTGTAGAATATCGAGGACTTAATGCCGTCACCAACTTTGACATGAGTCGTTATATCAACTGTCTTGATAACAACAACAACCCTACAAACTCCCCCACAGATAGAGTCGAGCTCGACGATACCACCGCATTAGCACCGGGGCCCACCTTCTGCTCCAGCCCATCATCTACCTCATCCTGCCCACCCAGGCCCAGGACTACTTGCTTTCCAGATCATATTCAGACATTCTTCGACATTCAAGATTCGAGCAGCTTTGCCGAGGATCATGGCATTGCCTTTGGATATTACGACGACTCTTTCGCGTCCATCATGTTTCAGTCTGACCAACTTCAAACTAATTAGTTAGAGTGTGTCTTCGATCTGAATTCTTTGAAGAACAGAGAAATTTTGGAGCTTAATATATTTATTTTCAATATATATACCCACATCAATGGATACATATACATTCATTACTTCTTATTTGATTATTTTTTGTTCCTTTTTTTTTTATGATGATTAGATTGCCTTCTCCTGAAAATTGTATCTACACAATAATGCTTAATAATTTTAGTGCCCAAAGTTCTCTTTCTTCTGCTTCTTCCTTAATTCTTACACTTGGAAAATGCATCAAAATAAACTCCCAAAACACCAAAAATACAGCTCAAGAAACCAAAAGAAGATTAATCGATTTCTTCTAAGGAACAAAATAGCTTGTGTTCTGAGAATGAACTTCTTCTTGGGCTTGGATTACTTATACGGTGCAGCAGAGTTTCGAATCAATGGAGGCCAAACACATGCAGAAAGCTTGATAACCAGTCAAAGGATATCTGCACAACAACAGCTTCTTCTTTGTTTAAATTTTCGACGAAACTGAGCAAAAGAAAAATAATAGTTAGCCAGACGAGAAGTACCTGTAATCCATCACGTATTTCGACTTTCCCATCCGTCCCAGTTGAAGGATTGATTGTTTTCCATTCCTCTGATCAACCACCAATTCTGGTTATTAGGTTTTTCATAAACGAGTAAAACGACTCTTTAACTGCGGTAAATTAGCAGAATAAAGTATGGTTGGAATCATGTTTAAACTCACTTCCAAAGTTAGTTGAAAGTTCTTTACTGAGCTCTTGATTTTAAGGCTGGCCCTTCCTCTGTCTCTGAAATCTAACTCGTACTGCTTCGAAAACTAAGCAGATTTTTTGCAAGAAAAGCAAACACATTTAGGCCTTTAGGAACCTTTACTCAAAAGTAGGAAATGAATCGAACAACTATTCTTTATTTTGAATTGTGTATCTCATCAAGATTATACCTTATTGTAAAAGGGGACTTTCGAGAATAGCCGATGAACTCTATCTTTGTTTTCCTCCCATTCTGTAGGCAATCCATTAATATGTTGTATCTACAACCACCCATCATACTTCTCAATCAGAAACCCAAATTTTATTCAACAGTTAAAAACTTAAAATACAAAGGTGTAACCTGATTTGTATTCTTGAGCTGCATGGATTGGTGCTTTGGTACCCATGCCTTCATGCTTCTGTAAGTTCCAGTCCAAGTCGATACAGTCGGCGTGAATCTATCAATAATTCGACCCAGCTATTAATTATCATCTATATCCCATATCTTTGAAATTTTTATGCACAACATGAGAAAAGATGACAAAAATGTGCTTACTTCACAGCTGCCAGTAACTTGGGGTTTTTGGCTAAGGAATTTAGACATAGTGCCTGCAAACATGTTAATAATAGCTACAAACTGTTAGAAACTTAGAAGACTATCGGCAAACTTGACGAAATAGGAAAAATCACCTGGTCCCATATGTGATACTTTGAGCCCATGATATTAGAAGTGACTATCCCAATCAAACTGTCATCTGACTTAGTCATTATGCCCTTTTCGTCTTGCGCGATTACGAACTCCGATTTTCCACGCCGCCTTCTATGGTGAGCAGCGGCAAGCTTGCGGTTTTGCCGCCCCTTTCCCTCCTACGACATTAAAATATAATTTATTTTTTTTCGTCGAAAACATTAATTGAACCAAAAAATAACAAGAATTGTCGAGGCACGGATGGTGCCACAATCTGTTCGACGTTCCCACACAAGAAAAATCAACGAACACAAGTACATAAAAGATCAAAGCACAACAAAACCAGATAGAATGAGAGTAAGAGAGCTTATATCAGTCCTTACATAAGTATACAGAGTGTACAAAGACCCACAGAAGAATCCATTGGGTGATGATTCTTTCACTATAATACATGTGCATCTCCCAACATCCAAGGGCAATGGCCTACACAACAAAGACCTGACCAACAAAAAGAAACAATTAATAAGCAACACTGTTGTTAGAACTATCCCATCAACAAGTGTTTCCACACATCAATACCAACCTATTGGGCAAATTCGACCAGGACGAAGCAGGTGCAGATTCCGAATCAGAATAGTCCCACGCATTAGCCGAGCTCGATTTATCCGAATAAACAGCGTCCCACATCTTCAAACCGATAATCGAATCCGGCTCATTAATTTTCATACACAGCTCAAGTGAAGATGATTTAAGCAAACTGTCCCTCATCTGTGAATTTCCACTCGAGGGCTCTTTCAAGACAGGATTTTTTGCAGCTTCAGGGGCCCCATTTTCTTTTCCACAAGAGTTCAATTTTCCTGCAGGTTTCAAATTCGGCTCGCCGTTTTCTTTATTATCACCACCGGTGATGGATGAGCTCCGGCGAATGTGGGAGGCCCCGCCGTCTTCGCTCGAGCTGCGGTGGTGTTTGTGCTCGATCAGGGGATTGCGGTAGAGAGAAGTGTAGGAAGACTGACGTGAGATGGTGGTTTTCTTGCAGCCCGCCATTTATGTTCCCTTTCTTGTTGGAATTGTTTGAAAAAGGAAAGGGAAGGAATAAAGTCTTTATGGGATTATAATGAGATTAGTGAATCTTGCAGCGGGTGTGGTTGGATATGTTCATCTTCCCAAGTATTTTTGATGCTATTATTGGGAGCAACGGCTATTTGAATTTGAAAATTTGAACTGGGAAAGTGGGTGTTTTTTGGGCAAATATTAAAAACAGCAACTTTAATGAGAGTTGGTATAGTTCTTTTTGACTAGTGGGAATCAGTGGTAGTTAGTGTGTGTTGATTTGCTGTGTCTTTTGTGGGGAGGTGATGATTAGTGCTACTATCGTGCGCCCTCACACGCTTAGCAAGGTGTCTCAAGATATTATTAAAATGAACATGTTACATAATAAAATAAATATTTGTAATTAAGTGTGCCCCATGTTACATATAAAATGAATATTTGTAATTAGGTGTGCCAGGACAAACTTAAGTATTTGCTGGTGAGGATTGGATTGGAAATAAAAGCGCCAGGAAATTTGAACACAACCAAAATGAGGGATGGGTCTGCCACTCTTATTGTTGACCAATCACAGGTCGCCAATTGTCATTTCCGCTTTTTTTAATATATTTCAGCTTTTCCATAAGACTTTTTCCATGTAAATTTTTTTAGTTCAACTTTTTTTTTTTACTTAGCTAGTAACTATGCAACCATCGTTTCTTTTTCAAAACCAACAAAGGCTTACAAAATCAAATGAACTACATAGATGAAGGAATGATTGTTTATCAATTAGTGTGTAGCCGTGCGATGCATAAAAACAATATTAAATTAACAATATCATAAAGAGACCTCGAGTTTGAGTCATTCAATTGAGAAAGTGGAAACTACTATTGATCCTATTTAAAAAGAGGAAAAACAAAATTATAAATTAAAGAGGAGGATAAACAATACTTAATAATTATAAATTAAAGATTCGAGATCAAACAATGTAAAAATTATTTTATATAAGAGAATATAAATTTTACATTATTTTGTATAAGAGAATATAAAATTTGTATGTTTAATATTAAAAACACCTAAATTATTATATTAGTATATGTAAAAGTATTCAAATTTTCTTTATTATTTTTGAAAGATATGAAGTCACTTACAACTTTTCTAAACAATTTAGAAAGAAAACATATCTGAAAACATTTGAATTTAACATTGTGTAAAAAGATTTTTTTAGATTATTTTGTAAAGAAAACATGTCTACAAATATTTAAATTTAATATCAAATATGTATATGTGTATATGTGTATATATATATATATATGTGTGTGTGTGTGTGTATGTATTCATATACGAATATGTAAAAAAAAATGTCTAAACAATTTGTTTAAAGTATCTAAATATTATAAGCCTAATTTAATAAACACATTAGGTCAGATGATACCGAATTTATGGCGCTACTTCTATCTAAAAAAATTTGATTACACAAAATTTTAAAATTATTATTATTTTTACGCTGTTATCGAGGATGTATTGTTAGTTTATAATATTTGTAAAAATATTAGTAATTAGAACGATGAAAGATAGCTTTTTAGAGTAGATAATTGATTTCCAATAGTAATTATGAATTGGTTTCTATTTTTCTTTTTTTTAAAGATAACTGATTTCTAATAGTAATTATGAATTGGTTTCTATTTTATTTTTTTATTTTTAAATCTGATAGATAAGTGATGAGATTTTTTTAAACTCGTGAGACAAGAAATATGAGTTTTACCAACGGAATAATCCGTTGCTAATCAAATTTCCCAACGAAATGCCAACGGTTTACCAACATATTTTCTTGTTGCTATATGGCTTGTTACTAACTTTTGCCTACGGAAAATACAATCCGTTGAAAAAATTCCCAATGGATTACCAACAAATTTGTAACGGAAATGCTTCATGAGATTGCTAAGGGATTCTCAACAGAAAATAGAGTTGCTAAATCATTCCGTTGGCAAATTACTAACATAAAGTCAACATATTAGTTACGAATATACCAACAGAATTTTTTCAACAGATTACTAACAGAATTTTCTCAACGAATTGCCAACAGAATATTAACAACTAAAATTGTTGATCCAACTTGAAGGCTAGGCTATACAACCACCTGACCCACCTTCAACCACATGGCTCACAATGAGTCCATGACTATCCACCAATATAATTCTTACTAATTCTCTCAATTCTCACAACACTAGGGTTTGAACTCAAGACCTCTTGCATGTTAAAGAGGTAGCACCACCACTAGGCTATATCAATGTATGATACATGATTCTACAATTCTTATTTTTATCAACTATGTAAATTATATAAAATAAGAATTGTGGAATATAAATTATATTTTTTTTATATTCATAAAAATTTCTATATTATTTATGCTTCAACCGTTTAATTATATTTGGTGTTTTTTTAATATGTTTTATTATAAAAATAGTGACTATATATATAAGTATCTACAAATTTATGACATTTGTAAATGAACTAGTATGAATCTCTTGCGACGCACGGGTAAGAAATATGTATTAAAATTTATAAATTAAAAATACTCATGAAATAATATTTGTAAATTAGAAATATGGAATCAGTATGTAATACAATTTACGCATAATAATTTATTAAAATGTTATATGAAACTTAAATTGTACAAAATTACATAAAACATGTCTATTTAAATTACTACACAACTTGTACGGTGCACTAATTGATAATGAATTATATTATATTCATTTCCAAACAAGTGTCATTTTAATTTTATTTATAAATTCGATTTGGCTACAATGTGATTCCATAAAAGAAAATATTTTGGTAAAATTTTATCATATAGTTATATATATATAATAAGTATAATTATAAAACTTATATTGTTTATTTAATTAAAATAAATTTATTTTTGTATAACTATCCAAATCAAAAAAATTAAGTAGTTGAGTAATTTATTAAACTATAAATAATAAACTATTTCATTTACGTTTTATGAATAATTATTTATTTGGCTTTTAAATTTGAAACTCAAATTTGGACTATACAATAATTTTTTTTTTATATATGTATATAACACACACACACACAAGCGTTATCGTTCAAATTTCTAGATTTGTTGTCGGTCACGTTATCGTTCAAATTTATCACCGCGTTAAATAGTGTTTACAAATTTAAATTATGGAACAAATATATTATATGATTTACCTATATTAATTTATTAAAAATGTTATATAAAATTTAAACTGTGTAAAATTATATACAACATGTATATTTAAATTAGTACGCAACTCGTACGGTGCACTAATTGATAATAAATTATGTTATATTCCTTTGAAATAAGTTTTGTCATTTTTTTATTTTTTATTTTCTGAAATTAAAAGAAAATATTGGTAAAATTTTATCATATATGTAAATATCTATATAAATAATAAGTACAATTATAAAACTTATATTGTTTAGTTAATTAAAAGAAATTTATTTTTGTATAAATATCCAAATAAAAAATTTAAGCAGTTGTGTAATTTAATAAACTATAAATAATTAACCATTCCATTAACGCTCAACTATAGATTATGTAGTAATAAATTAAGAAGAAAAATATAAATTTTTATGAATTTGTTTAAATATTTTTAAATTAATTACATAACTAAATATTATTAAGGTATATTAAACTTTTGTCATTATATATACACACACACACACAGACACACACATATATATATATATATATATATATATATATATATATAAAGAATTTTACTTTTCTAGGTGTTATAATTTTAATAATAATGTCATTATGACAGTGAAATTTAAAAAATAATGGTTGAGTATTACGATTAACAAAAACAAGCAAAATTATTACTTTGTTTATGTCAAAAAAAAAAATATAGAAATTCGTTGATAATACAATATTAAAAGTGTCCGTTGCTATTTGCTAACGGAAAAATTCCGTTGCTAGTACAATTTTGGAAGATTTTGTTGCTATTCCGTTGCTATTTGCAAACGAAAAAATTGTGTTGCTATTTACTAACGGAATAATCTGTTGGTAATACAATTTCGGATTAATTTGTTGTTATTCCGTTGCTATTTGCCAACGGAAAAATTCTGTTGCTATCTGCCAACAAAATAATCTGTTGCTAATACAGTTTTTGAAGAGTTTGTTGCTATTCTGTTACTATTTGCCAACAGAAACATTTCGTTGCTATTTACCAATAGAATTATCCGTTGCTAATACAATTTTTAAGGAGTTTGTTGTTATTCCCTTGCTAGTTGCCAACGGAACAAAACCGTTGCTATTTACCAACTGAATTATCTGTTGCTAATACAATATTGAAGATTTTCGTTGCTATTCTGTTGCTATTTACCAACGAAAACATTTCATGTTTCGTTGCTATTTACCAACTGAATTATCTGTTGCTAATACAATATTGAAGATTTTCGTTGCTATTCTGTTGCTATTTACCAACGAAAACATTTCTTCGTTGTTTGCCAACGAAATAATCTGTTGCTAATACAATATTGATGATGTATGTTGCTATTTCGTTGCTATTTTGCCAACGAAAAAATTTGTTGCTATTTACCAACGGAATAATCCGTTACTAATACAATATTGATGATGTCTGTTGCTATTTCGTTGCTATTTGCCAACGAAAAAAATATGTTGCTATTTACCAACGGAGTAATCCGTTGCTAATACAATTTTGAAAGACGTTGTTGTTATTCTATTGATATTTTGTTTGTGTTTACGAACGGAATATTTCTGTCACTATTTACCAACGGATTACGAAGAGTAATTTTCCGTTGCTATATCTTGTTAGTATTTTGTTAGTAATCTGTTTAGAAAATTTGTACATGTAATGCATTGCTAATCCGTTGGCGATTCGTTGGCAATCTCCAACGGAAAAATTTTGTTGGTAATTTTTGTTGGCATTTTGACAATTTCTTGTAGTGACGTATGCAATGAGATTTTGTAACAAATCAGAGATAAACTCGTGTAGATTTAT